TTTCAATGTGTAAGGCATTTTGGCACAAATGGAAGTGCGTTTCCCGTCACGTCACTAATCAAAAGCAGAATTATGAATAGAGCTGTACCAATGAAGCAGTTAAAGGCACAGAAAGTAATATGCACTCTAAGATGTCTAATAAAGTCACTACAATTACAATCACACTTTGGTCGCCAGAATCTCCCTGTAGCTTCTAAGCACTGATTACTAATGCAATCCACCAGCTGGGTTTGAGCCAGAAACGGTATTTTAACAGTGTATTTAGATAAAACAACTAGTTCATTTTTAATCAAAGGAATAATCTCAAGATGAGTTGTTAAAAATTATAGGAGTCACATTTGTTGTAGATTATGACCTAGCTGTAGCAAGGACCATAATCAAAATCAATAACACCCAATGGTTGCAAAGTACTTTTAATCCTCCAGACCAAGCTCAATCTCTGCTGTGGTCGCCTCAGTGACAATGAAACATGTGTCAAATGTTCTGCTTTGAAAATACCACAACCCAACTTACCTTTCTACTCCTTGTGATTTATTCATTATCATCTATATGTGACAGTACTGTTTTGATTCCCCACATATAAGAGCATATTGGAGGAGAAAAGTGTTCTCTGCCTTTTAAGAGTATAGATAAATGTGACTTAACCGCTTCGTAACGTCCAGAAATAGCTTTTTTTACAGAAGCAAAACCATGTCAGAGTAATAGAAATAAGCAATAACCTAAAACAGTAGAAGACAATATGCAGTAAAATGGAGCTGGCAGACGATATCGGTATTGGCTCAGAGCGGTTATCTGTCGAAGCAGCAAATAGATACAGGCTCAAACAGGTAAACAATAGTTATAAAGATGGCACTTTTATCTCCTTCATCACAGAGAGGGAAAGGTAAGACGTGCACTCCACTTCTCCTGTACCTCCCTGCCCTAGGTGCTTATATGTCAGACTTAAATCACTCTGATCTCAAATGCAATCACCTGGAATATCCCATTAATAGCCCACCAATCTAATCCTGCTAGAGAAATGGATTGTCGGATTGCCATCTCATTATATTGTAAATTATACCCAGAGCCGGATTTGTAATAGATTTGATCATAAGAAATTCTATTGGGAAAATAATGTGGGCATACATTTAAGGCAAGTATTGTAAAGGGGGAAAATACGGCATATGCCAAATGTAAGCTTTAAGGAATATGTAACCTTTTTTCAATAATATGGGGAATTCCTGAGTGAAAATAAGTCGCAGGTTTTCTTGTTTTAGTGCAATGCTTTTCCAGCAGCTAATATACAGCTGACAACAAAGCCAACAACTATCTGATTTAATGATGATTTAATTTTGAGATGTTTTAACGAACAAAGCAAATGAAGCAAAAAATCTGAGGGTACAAGCATTCATTCACATTAGCATGTTTACCCAAGCTGTTAACTTCCATTTTTTTTATTTTATTTTTCACATGAAACGAGCGTCCTATAACTATTTAAACTAAAGGGAATTAAAAGAATACGTTTGTCATATCTGCTCTGACAACAGCCCGACTCTGCCATAATAGAAATACCTACGTTTCTGTGTTTATTTTTATTATCATTATTATTAATATTTTTCTATTTTTTTCTTGTCTCACTTTTTTCCCACTGGGTTTTTGTGAGTTTTTCCTTGCCGATGCAGGAGGGTCTGTTGGGCAGATAGTGTCCAACTAGAAGGACTGTGGTGATGATCGAGGACACTTTAACATTCTACATGTATTGTGTCATTTGTGTATATTTTGCGTCTTAACTGTTGATTCTCTGATCTGTGTTGGTGATTTCAATGGTTTTGTTAAGTCCTCTGAGATTACTTCTGTCGTGATATAGGGCTATACAAGAATAAGTTGTTGTTGTTACCTTTGCGTCATGATTGTTCTGTTTGGGATTATACTTTTGTGTTTTTGTTGAATGTTAATGTGTTAAAAACAAAAAACTAAACCTACATTGGCAGCACAAGGTTTAAAGACATTTATAGTAGTAGCGTCATTTAGTACATCATATGAGTGTAATTAGTTTATAGTCCATTAACAGATGATAATGATTTACTTTCTTATATTTTGTAAAAGTAGAATCCATATGGACGCTCTTCAGGCCCTGTGCATACTTGTACTTTTTGCCTTTTCATTCCCCACACAGTCTACATAACTTTTTCCAAATGTAAAATTACATGCATACATCTTCCTTTGCTTCCTGCTGCATTCAAATGAAAAGACATTGTTGCCTGAAAGCCACAGTGGATGGATATGTGAAAACTCACTTCAGGCACAGCTTATTAGTTTTGTGCTGTCTCACACAATGTAACCTGTGAGCTCTGAGGGCGAGATCTGCACCAAGAAAAGCAGAAACAAGAGACAAGCACGAACTCGAGGTCAAGATTAACAAGGTCTTTTTGTGCAATGAAAGGTAACAGAAAAGACAGATGTTTTAAATAGAACGTTTTTTTATATTAAAAGGAAGTGAATAAGTGAGTCTTTATTTAGACAGTGCGTTTCATGGATAGTTCAACATACGGAAAGACAAAGGGAAAACAAACAAACTCCATACAGAAAGTCCCATATCTAATTGCTGCGAGGCAAGGTTACTCATGATCCATGGTATACATACAGCACAAAAATCTTAAATAGCCTTTTTTTCAATGGAGTTATAATGGGGACCACAGGATCTAATCTCTGCTTTTTGCTAATGGTGCTGGCTCCAGTAGACCAGGACCTGAACATGCACTAGCACGGTTTGCAGCCGAGTAGGGAAATTAGCACTTCCATTAAGAGGCCATGGTGCATCGACTGGAAAAAGGTGCTTTGCCCAGGTGGGTGGGGAGGTCCTTAGTCAAGTGGAGGAGTTCAAGTATCTCAGGGTCTTGTTCACGAGTGAGGGAAAGAAGGAGCGTGAGGTTGACAGAAGGATCAGAGTCGAAAGTCAAAGCTCTCGATTTAGCGTTCGATCTACATTTCCACCCTCACCTATGGTCATGAGCGTTGGGGAATAATCAAAAGGACAAGATCGCAAATACTGTATAATAGGTTGAATTGAGTTTCCTCCGCTGAGTGGCTGTGCGCTCCCTCAGAGATAGGATGAGGAGCTCAGTCATCCGTTTCGAATACCTCCAGAACGCTTCTCTGGGGAGGCTTGTCCCACCGGGAGGAGGCTCCGAGGAAGAGCCAGGATATGTTGGAGCGACTGCATGACTGTATGTATGGCCAGTGATTACCTCAGGATTCCCTCGCCTCAGCTTAGACTGCTTCCCCCGTGACCCAGAATATGGATGCAAGGACAAAAATAGCACTTGGTGACCTGGCAAGTAAGTTCTATTTCACTTCCATCAGTTAGAGTTGTCTCTGAAAGCTTTCAAGGAGAAACTGATTGGTCTGATTTTTGTCATTTACAGTTGGTGGAAAAGCACAAATGTTGTTACTGTCCACAAATGCACACACAGCCTCTCATACATTTACCACAAACCACAATTCTGCGATTTTCCAAATTCCACATGCAGGTTGGACACAATCGGGTCAGCTGGAGTCAAGAGTCTTAAAGGCACACCGCGGACTTTGTGACCTAAAGAGTTGACACATATGAGTTATTTTATATGAATACTTGGGCCAATATACAGCGCTTGACACTTGCAATGCTCCGAGCGGGGCTGCCCTCTTGAAATACCGCCCATGTAAGTTTCGAGCAGACGGACCGTCTCCCACCAAGTCACGTGACTTGGGAGAACGATTTGCTTTACGGCAACAGGCGCTGATATACTCGTGGAGCTAAGGCTTTTGCTACTCATTTTCCACCTGCTCGACTCCTGGTCATGGCTGAGGCAAGGAAAAAGTTTAAACCTTCGGAGGACGCTAAAAAGAGGAAACGTGAAAGGGATCGTGCTCGAGGAAAAACAAGGGTCGATCTAGGAATGGAGTTTGCTCGTTGGCGCAGGTTGAAAGAAGAAGCTGGATGTAAATCTGATTCTGTTTTTTCAACTTCGTTGTTAGACTGGTAAGTGAAGTCTTTGCTCCTAGTATACAGTAAAATGTCTTTGTCATTATTTTCGCTGTTTAGTAGAAGCAAAATACGGGCAGACGAAGCTAACAGGCTACAAACCAAAGCTAACGTGTGTAGCGCTACGTGTGTAAATCTCAGACATTTCGCATATGTAACAGATTCCTACTTTCATAAAACTAACTTGGTTGTGGTAATTCTATACCCCCATGATACTGCTTTGCTGATTCTATTTGCACGTAATTATACTGTGGATGTGTTTGCCTAACTAGGGCTAACAAGCTAACAGGCTGCTATTAGCCCATCTACCGATTCAATGAAATACCAACACTTTTAATTTATAGGCATACTGTATTATTGCACCGGTTTGTTATGGCCCATTTTGCCTGTGCTGTTGGCATTGCTTTCATACAAGGACTTGTCTTTTTGTTTAGTTACGAACGGAGAGGTGTAGCAACATCCACACCATACAAAGGAGAGGGCACAGCAAAACCTCCTGGACCACCAGTATCGAGTCTTTCAGACTCTTCGGATCATGACAGGTTTGCACTATGTTTTAGCTGTAGACAGTTTGTGGTACAAATCAAAATATTCATTCAAAGAGGTATAATTATAAGACACTGATGACAATGCTATTGATTGATATATATCAATCAATAGCATTGATTGATATATATCATATATATATATATATATATATTGATATATATATTGATATATATATTGATTGATAATTATGCTTTGCACCTGCACAAGCAGATTGTACATAAACTAGTAGAACTATAAAGACAAACCAGAGCTTCAGTGATATTATAGCTCAACATTCTTTTCTACTTGTGTAGGGGTAAAGAAATGGTCCTTTCAGGTGTAGATGAGTTGATCACAGCAAGTGAAAAAGTTGACGTGCTTGAATCAAGGTGAGTCCATTACATAATAATCAATCATTTTGTGAGAAGAATATACTCATGTTTGTTTATTTTTTATTATTTTTTGCAGTATGCACTCGTTGGCAATTTCTGAAAAACATGATGACGACCTAGAGGCTGCTAATGATTTGCAGAATAGTATGTAAGTGCTTTACATTGTGTGCAAATTACCCTTTTCCTTTTTGTATGTATAAAGCGTGCATTTCAAGACCAATATGTATTTTTCTGTGTAGGATTGAGATGGAGGAAGCTGTTTGCTGGGAAGATGACGACTCTGATGAGGATTATGTTCCTTTCCTCTATCTACGGTATGTGCTGTTCATAAATTACTTATCGTAATTTTCCACTTGTCACAAAATATATAAAGCTGTTTAATGACACTGACTCCTCAATGTTATTGTAACAGATCTACTGGAGCTTCAAGGGCAGAAATTGACAAGCTTCCTGAAATACACATAGATGAGGCTGTGCTGGATGTAGAGGAGGTGCCCATAGTTCCTGAAGAAGATCAACACATTCCTGTAAGACACAAGGTTGAGACTGTAGAGGACCTCGTAGGAAAGGAAGCGAGCATCTGCTACAATGACAACTTGCTCTCTCTTGCAAGGTATATTAATCTCTAAGACCTATAGCTACTATCTTATGCCAGCCTCTCATTTCCTGTTTTACTTTTCAAAGGTACATGCAGTTGCCTGTACAGTTGTGTCAGTTCCGAGATCCTATTTTGGGGACACTATGCAATGGAAGGCCTCCTTTTCATGTGCAATTAAAGCCCAGAGGGACTGGTGTCATTCTTGAATGGGTAAGTGTAAATGCAAGCACCACCATTGTTTAGAGAACGACTTTCGGGGGAGCCTGGAAAAAGGTGTCACCTGATGTGGGGGTGTTGGTAAAGGTTGTGAGAGAATGTATTGAATTGCTAATTGCTTTGTTCGTCTTTACTTAGGTTTGCCCTCACGGACACACTATTTGGCATTGGAATTCTCAGCCACTCCTAAAATTTGGAATGCAAGGAGGCGATTTCATGCTGTCAACAAACATTCTTCTCTCTGGAAACAACTACAAAAAAAATCCATCTCCTTTTCAAATTTATGTGTATGGGAATGGTTGCAGAGACTACTTTTTTTGCCATACAGTCTGAATACTGCCTAAAGCCTGTAGAGGAGCATTGGAAAGAGAGTAGAGAGAAGGTGTTGAACAAGCTTCGACAAAAGACTGAAGTAGTTGTACTTGGTAAGTGTCATTTTCATGTTTGCTTGTCAATATGTGTCATTGTTGGGAAGCAGATTACATTTCTATATTTCAGTTGTATCTTTTCTCTTTTATCAGGTGATGGCAGAATGGACTCCCCTGGTATGTGATGCTATACAAAAATATTCCCATGTGGAAAAAAAACTCTTGTTACTTACCAAATGTTTATTTGTAGGCCACTGTGCACAATTTTGTACATACACCATGATTGAGCACGAGACCCGTGACATTGTGCACATTGTGAGCGAGGACAAAAGGAGATTTGGCAGGAATTCGGTCATCTTGGAGAAAGTCTGTTTTGAAAGTACAATGGACTGCCTTCTCAACGAAATCCCTATAAAAGAAGTAGTGACGGATGCTCATGTACAAATATCTGCCTTGCTCGGTAAGTATATTTCACACTCAATCAAACTTCTCATCCAAAAATAATTTAACTTAGGAAATATATTATCTTCAGATCCAGTACGTGGAAAATACAAGGATTGGAGTTTAACCCATTCGCTGGATGTCTGGCATGCTTCCCAAAAATCTTGGAAGGAAGCTACGCGAAGTAAGTCAAATTGCCACAATTACCACTGTTATTTGTTGAATGATTTAATCTCAAATAGGAAAAGACCTTTGGTACAAAGTCATTCTCATAAATGTATTTTGTTATCAGGCAGCAAAAGGCAAGGAACATTCTGTGTTGATGCATTGGGTAAAGGATATAGTGAACCATTTCTGGTATTGCTGTCAGCGTGCAAGTACTGTAGAGCAGTTTAAGGTACGTGAATAACAAGAGATACTCAAAGTGTGTGCCATTTTCAATTGTTATCTATCAATGCTTTTATTTTACAGATACTGTGGCATGGAGTACTACATCATGTACGCAATGAACACACATGGGCCACAGGGTTTTGTGAGCATGAGCCATTGGATGACAGCAGTCAAGATAAGCCGTGGATACAGAAAGGTAACATGGAGCATTTTGTTTCACTCATTTAGAACATTTTATTTTGTAAAACTTCATGTTGAAATACAGTAGCTGTATCATAACTTCCTTGTCTTGCAGGTTCTGCTGCTCATCAGACCCTGACTGCTATTGTTTTGAATAAACGCTGGCTTAAAAATGTGAAAAAGTACATAACATTCAGGTATGTTTGTGCAGTTTATCTATTTTTTTCTCTCCCTTTTGTTGCTTTGGATAATGTAAATGCCATAATGTAATGCTTTGGATAATGTTAATGGCATAGACCACCACTAATTTCAATCTAATTTTTACAGAACTACGTCAGATTTGGAGAGTTTTCAGAACCATATTCTGATGTATGCAGGGAAGCGCTTTGCCTATAAGTATAAAGTGTACAGAACCAGGGTTTTCCTTGCTGCAATAGATTACAACTACCACAATGGTCGAGAACATAGACGCAACAGAAAAGGAGAAAAAATGTATGTATTTTTACTGTACACAATTTTAAATTTATTGTTTGGAGGGTAATACTATGTGGTATTCTGTGTTTTACAGTTACAGACGGTACTACAATAAGAAGTCAAAAAAACTGGAGTGTGCATGTTACAAAGGAGGCCAAGAGTATGCCTACATTCCCGACCTTCAGAAGGCAATTCTTAGGAGAAGATTAGAGAGTGGGTCAGGCCTTCCTCGAAGAAGAACCCTTTCAGAAGATGACCCTGAGCGCCTTGGACTGGTTGGCACAGCGGACACACCACCCCCCACTGCTGAACTTGTGGCAAGACACACTTCCCGGGGAGCAATGGCTCTACTAATGGAAGACTAGGACATTTTGTTTTGTAACTGTTTTTGTTCATTCTTTATTTGAATAAAATGTATGATAAGTTTTATGCTGTGCATAATATTTTCCCTAAATAACTAAAGTCTACTTACAAAAATGTAAACAATTGTAAAATCTTGTTGAACTACAAAAGAAATACAACACGTATTTTAATATGTACACATTTTTATTGATATTAATAAGTCATGGAAGCCGGCGCACTCTAAAACCTGTGTATTGTCCATTAGTGTCTGGATACTTGGTCCTAATGCGCCACACAACACAGCTTGGTATGACCACCCTATTGCCCTCCCCTAATCGCCCATGTTGCCAGAGCACAAAATTCCTGTAAGCTGCATGTCTGTATGAGCGCTGCTCTTCACCTGGTTCCTGGCTGTCATCGACTGCAAAGATGTCATTCACGCAGCACGAGCTAGACGCAGAACTCCCTCATCCAGGATATAGAAGTCCATGTGTACATTTGTACTAATGCAGTCGTCTGGAGGCTGACTACAGCAGAGTCTCTCAATATCTGTAGGCATGTCTTACAGTTTGAAACACACACACCAGTCTGCCCCTAAGATGCATAAAACACATTTGTCAACATAGTAGTCTATAAAGTCTTGCATAAAACAGTATAAATAATAAATTGATAAGTGTACACATACCTGCATATCAGCTCTCCTCCTCTGTTGAAGATCCTCGAGCCTTTCATAGTCAGCTGTAGATGGTCTGCTGCTGCTTCTTCTTCCTCCTCGTCCTCTCTCCATCCCGCTCCCCCCGCCTCTCCCTCGTTGTCCTCCGCTTCCACCGCGTCCACCTCGTCCTCCCCCGCGTCCACCTCGTCCTCCGCCGCGCCCACCTCGGCCCCCTCGTCCTCTCCATGTTTCGGGAGGGGATTCGGAAGATTCATCAGGCGGTGAAGAAATTGATGATGATGATGACTGAAAATAAAACAAACATCAGCATAAAAATTGATAATGTACTTACTGCGAAGTCGTGTAACAGTCGCAAAATACTGTCGTTATTTGAAAGCTTCGGTTTGTCCTTTTACACGTTCATGTATGTTTATTATTAGTGGATTATACGATTTTAGATAGAAATATGTATGCATTATTAGAGGCTTATTATGATTTTATATACAAATTCATAGTTTACTACAGGACAAACACAAAAAAAGACGACGTAAGTCCGATCTACAGATAAAATAAATCCAAAACAACACAATAAGAACTTGGTTTTAGGTATAAAACAGCTCTACGACTTACCTGATCAGACATGGTTTTCTGTTCACTTTTGTGCAATTTCTTTATTCAGCGGATGTCTTCTTTTCTTCAATCGTGAACACTCTTCAACCAACAGGTAGTGGACCTGTTGATGTCTGAATACACACTCAAGACACCGGCAAGACACTGTTTGTTGACTTTTGCGACAGTGCTGAGTTGCTTGTGGCCACTAGGGGCGCTAAACGTGAAAGTTGCAGGTCTAGCGCCCCTAGTGGCCAAGAGTTACACGGTGTGCCTTTAAGTTTGTAAACTTGAAAACACATTTTAAAAACCACACTGTCTTTGTTTTTAAACTAGGAACCAGTCAATCAATGCTCACTGACAAACCAGAAATAGTTGTATTTGACCTTAAAACGGAAAGTTCAAGCTATATTTAAATCTTTATATATAAACACTTGTCTTAGTGAGACACAATATAAACTTGCACATCCATCACATGATGCGGAAGATATACTTAGATTTGTTTTGTCTTATCTCCAGAATATAATAAAAAATAAATAATACCCAAAAATGAAAGTTAAAAAATGCTTTGCGATACACAGCATATACATATAGAGCCATATTTAAATCTAATGCTGGCTTCATCAGAATCACAATCAGAATTATTTTTATTGCCATTAAAAGTTACAGGTAGCCACAAACTAGGAAATTGCTTTTGCTCTCGGCGCAAACAAGTTATAAAATATCTAAATATACTGTATCTCAAAGCGTCTATCTGAGGCATACGTGTCTGTGTACATTTGTGATTGGCTGTCAGCGGGTTAAACCCACTAAATGGAGCCATCTAAACGATTGTGGGGTCTCCTGGTGATCAATAGAGAGATAAGGGACGGGGATAAGCCACGGGCAGATGGACGTCAAAGCGCACACCTGGGGGCAGCCGATGGTGGTGGTATCTGGGAGGCCGGTGACGACAGAGACTGCAGTGGTTTTTTAATTTGTGGAGAGCAAACAGAGCTTATCGCAATGTCAGGGGAGAGCTGATTGGTGATTCACAGCCACAACTCTAAAGAGGACAGCCTTTGAGTTTAGCCGCACGAAAAACACAACTTTAAAAAGGTAGGAATGAGGAGAAAACAGGAATCAGCAACAGCCTGATACAAAGTTGATATTGCAGAAGTCTGGGAGAGAAAGTGTATTGAAATTGAAAAACGTAGCAGATGGTTCAAAGTCGGAATCAGACTAAGTATAGTAAAAGCAACCGTTTTTAGTTTGTAACCTTCTGGAGGCTTGTCACATTTAATTTAATTGATTGTTATTTTACCAGGAAAGGAGATTTTAGAATGTTTTTTTTCAAGTGATTCCTGGTCTCAGGTGGGCTGTGGGTGCGTGGGGAGGAGACTAAAGAGCCAATTAAGTCCTGATTGGTTGCTTGGTTGCTAGGTCGTTGCTACTCACAAACTTGGCTCCAGGTTTCTGCTATTAAAGCCTGTTTGAGGTAGTTCTAATCGGATTGTTTGCATTAAGGCAAACACTATACATAACGTCGGCTCTCGGTTAGTCCACTCATTCTATGGTTAGTAAGTAAGTAAGTGAACTTTATTCATACAGCACATTTTTACGCACCAGCGTCATCCAAAGTTCAGACAGTCAGACATCGGAAGAACATACAAACTCCACTCGGTCTCGTGTTGACCGGGATTGGAACCCATGCCACAATGCCGCCCAAGGAAATGGAATATCATGCTCAGTCATGTCCACGGAGATAAATATATTATATACCACATATTATGTTGGGATAATACAGTCATAAACAAGCAGGATGGTTCCAAGTACTAGTAATGGTTTATGGAAGTGCGTGCTCACGGTTTGTGCAGTGAAACAAAATAAGTAAAACTGAATTCAAGTCTATTTGTGAGCTAAAATGTTCACATATTGGAATATATTCATTTATTTTGTGTGCATTGTTTAACCCTTTCCATATGAGTATTTCATTGTCCACGCTAAATCTACTTCAGAACACTTCTAAAAAACGTTTCAAAAGACCTTTTTTTGTCTTTTATTTACTTATCTCCTTTCTGACCACTGGAATATGTGTAGAATGGAGCTCTTCCGTGTATAAAGTATGTGTTTTACTTGAGCTAAATAATGACATCCCCATGGACCACAGATACATGACCTATAAGCCCAGGCCAATCACTAGCCGTGTCGGAACATAGAGGATGAGCAGTGTGCTGAATACTTTATTAGCACCACTCGTGTTTGCTGGATCTCCAGGTGCAATCAGTCAATCATAGAACCCACCGTGGGGCCGCTTCAGATGCAGATATGAGCGCTGCAATATAGAACTCCGTGGTGAGTTTGAAATGCATCATTTATGGCGGCAGATGTAATCAGATAGAAGTGAGATAACAAATCAAAACATATTAAAATGATCCGACAAAGAGAGAGCTCATAACTTCTCCTGTAGATAATTCGCTCATGAACCTCACGGCTGTACAAAGGAAGCAGTGTTCAGTTTTCAGTTTATCTTGTGTAGTAGATCTGGGGTTTTTACTAAGACTTGTCCAGGGGCCGACAATATTTGTGATATTAGTGCTCTTACTTATCTTATCTTAGAACGTCCAAAGAAGACCAAAAATACACGGCCTTATTCAAGAAGTGAAAAGTAAAGGGTTAAAATGAATTATGACCAGAAGTCCATATTGATTCACATTTGACAGAGCTAAAGTTAGTTGAAAACAAATATTTACCATCGCACATTAGCGCCATATAGATAGATACTTTATTGATCCCTGTTAGAGAAATTCAGGTGTCCAGTAGAAGCAAAAACACATTCATCCATGAAAACAAAACAAATAAATATATAAATGTAGCTAACAGTTGTATTAACATGGAATAGCACTTTAGATCACAGCAGCAGAGGTGGAGTAGTCGCTGGGTGGAGCATTTGGTTTGGACCGTTTTCTCTGCTCTGGACCAGAGTAAAATGCTGAATGCTTCTTTAGCATTTTTCAAAAAATTAGCATTCCCCCAGTGGAACGCTGCTTGATCCGCTTGGTTTGGTCGGTGAATCCTCTCTGCTCTGGTCTGAGTCTGTGTAAAACCATGAACACTGTAATGCAGTAACATTTACAGGTAAAAAAATATACACAATTTTTTGACCAAAACAAAATGTATATTCAAATAAAGCCTATGTCTAGATTCTAGAGATTCCCCAAAAAGGCTTAGCATGCCTCTATTGGCAGAGTAAGAATTTTCCATATATAATATATATAAAGCAGTTCCTCCCCTTGGCTTTGATGAAGGAGTTAAACCAAAGGGGAGGGGCCTCAGTTGTCTCTGAAGAAATTGAATTCATTCCGTCCAATCAGGAAGCTGCGTACACAGGTCGAACTGACGCTTGGCTTTGAAAAATGTCTCATCTTCAAAATGTGAAAAGTAACTGATTTTTCCTTTGATAAATCATTTTCTATAAGTTGATGGATTTTACATCATTCAAATGAACAAATGTTGAATTCTGTTGTTGTTAAAGTGTCATTACCCATTTGAATCACAGTAGATAATTAAGGCCATGATTCTGTAAACCCATAAAATTAATACACGTCAGAAAATCTTGTGAAGTAATGGCCCAATTCGTGTTTGTTAAATATATCATAGACTCCATAGAAGAGATTGTTTTTATTATTTTTTGTCCAGATAATGAGATTCAGTCCCGTCCTCTCCACTGGGTCCTTTATATCAATCCTTCCCGCTGTATGTTGGTATGTTTGGAGTGTTTGGTGTGTTTGGTGTGTTGTTGTGGACCAGAACACAGAGCCACAGAGATAACGGAGCTTGTGAGCGTGTCCACAGAGGAGATGGGACAGGAGTGAGCGCGCTAATCACTGCAGAGCACTCCTGATTAACTGGATAACCGCGCTGACCTCTATCACCACTGAGCAGGAAACCCATTCTGACTGCCACTGCAAACTGTATTGTGCTTTGAGCATTGTCCATTTTTCAAAATCTGTCCAAAAGTAATGGTCTAAATTGTGTATGTATGAACAAATACAGGCCATTAGTGGATAGATGGATTTAAATGTTGTGGATGGAGAGTGAATTTGTAAGCGGCATGAGAGCAGTAAATTGGCTATTTTCCACTGGTGTCTCCTGGGATTAGGATCTGAATGTCTCAATTAAATGAAAAGTGAATAGTTTTCAGACAGATAAAATGAGACATCTTTCCCCATTACAACAATCACATGTACCGTAATGCATTTTGACAAAGCTGGACAGTTTTGGGAGAATGATAAGATTTCATTGGACGAAAAGTGAACATGTTTTGTCACCTACATTTATGCAAATATCAGAAAAGCTTGAACCCCTTAAAATTCATTTCTTGAAGAAACTAGATCCGATAATCACCCAAAGCACTAAATTGTATTATGTATTTTTTTTTTTTTTTTTTTTTTATTGTAGGCCTTTACCAAATGGTTGAGAAGCAGTTTGATGGTAAAAAAAAATTGAGTGAGATGAAGTATATTCAGAAGGTCATCTCATATATTCAAAGGTGATCTACCAATCTGTTTAGGAATAAAATTAAAGGGTTAAATGTGTTTTTAAGATACACAACATTATGTATAGAAAGGTATTGGGAAGAGAAAAAAGCAAGGGATCTAGAGTTTGCACTTTTCCAATTGATGATGGAGTTTGGACACAAGGCATCAGGTGGACATGAAATAAAGCTTTAACCAATCAACAGCATTACATTATATTGAAATGACAAAACATTTTACATTGAAAATCAGAACAATGAGCGGCTTTGTTACATCAGCAAAATTGTGATTGGATTAATCTGTAAGAGAGAATAGGTTGTGACAGTCAGAGGCTTTGATGTGCCAGCGTGTTCGGGGTCTCGCGTCTGTCATCACTTGGGTGGAGAGAATGGACAAAATATCGGTACTCCAAAATTACAAACCGCTTCGAGTGACCTTGATCTGTGAAATAAATACTAACTAACAAACTAACTAATCTGATGGATAAATGATACACTTCAACCAGATCAGAAATGTCGCTCTGGTTCAAGTCTGGTTGAAAAATAAGTTTTTAATTGTGGCTGTAAGCGCACCAAGTCACCTAGTCATGGCATGAGATGAAATGAAAAAATATACACAAAAAGCAGGACTGAAAATACAGTGTAATTTAATTAAAGAAACCCAAATCCAGCGTAACAAAAAAACACTAAAAATCAGAGAAAAAAGTAAGCGAAGAACAAACGTGGGATCGACAAACAACAAGTGGGAAACACACGGGTTATAAATTCACAGGGAGACTCAGGTTAATCACATTAGGGGGCGGGGCAAACAATCAAAGGGACAGGAAGGAGAAGATGACAGAGTTAAGAAAATGTATATAATGAAAGTCCAGATCCTTGTAATAATAATAATGCATCGGTTTTATTTTGGACACTCAAAGACGCTTTACATCCGACCACCACCAACCATTCACACACACACCAGACTCATTCTAGGCAATGGGGGTGAAGTGTCTTGACACAACGGCAGCTTGGCACTTTACAGCCGCCCCACTGTGGTATCAGGAGTTCCCAGAGGTTAAGTGTCTTGCCAAGGACACAACGACAGCAGACCTCAGTGCTAGTCAGTGGAGAAAGTCTTGTGGTGGGCTCGAACCCACAATCCTCTGGCTCAAAGGCCAATGCTCAACCAACTGAGCTACTGTCGCCTCTCTTGTACTGTAAGTTCATTAAGTCAGTTTGCATCTTAAAACAGATCTGTGAAGTATTTTTTTCATGAAGTGAACCAAACCAACAAGTGTGAACAAAGTGCTTCACATTAGAATACAAATATAATAATTCTAGAAATGTATGACGCTGGACATCCAAGGCAGGCGGTGCTGACACTCTCCGGATTTCACAATATGCAAAGTGCAAGACAGTTTAATTGGCAGGGTCACTGTGCACTTGTATCAGCACTTTGCAAACTTTCCTTTGGTGCAGTATGAGAAAAGGTTAACACCATGTTTATAGAAATGCAATCGTTTCTAAGATGTTCTCTCTACACCAAACTGAAGTTAAAAAACGATGTGACTTGTGATTCTAAACTGGCTGTATCTCCAGGGAGCCTCCTCTCTCTGAGCTCTTCCCAGGGGGGAGGCCTCATGGGGGGGTCACCTTTGCTGCCATCCTCCCACACCATCCATCTCCCATCTCAGCTCGCAGCTATATCCTCTTCCACACTGCTTCTCTCTCAGCTCCGCCGCCTGAGGGCCCCACATCATGCTTCATCCAGCGCACCTGCCCCGGGCCCCTGCCATGCTCCCCTCGGTGCCCCCTTGTGTCAATGCATATCACAAGACCTCCTTTATGCAACACTAGCAGCTATGGAATTCTGGCAAAAGACAAAATACAAAACACATCACAATATTCCAAAGAGCATATAGTTTAACATCGTGGTGAAGGGCAGTCGAAAAATCTGTCCTGGTAACTATGGTAACTGTTAAAAGTATATCTTTCAGTCACAGCTTAGAGCAGGGGTGTCAAACTGATTCCAGAAATGACCAGTGTGGCTGCAGGTTTTAATTTCCACCAAGTGTAGGAATTACGGCTGTTTTATTTTTAAGCTCTACATATATTTCTGTGATATTATACGTAATAAAATGAGTCTGGGACATTTGAGCCTAATGTTGACATATTTCATTCTCTGATTGAAAGTTGGCATTGTCTGGCTATAGGACTCGGCTGGGCTTAGTCTGTAATTTGCATGTTATCTGTTCTCTATACATTCAACTTTGTGTTTATTATAAATAAAGCAGAATCTGATCTTCCATTCCTTATCACTAGTTGTGCGGGGGAAACTCATTCAAGCCACTTAGATTAGTTACCAAACAAGCAAGAGCACACAGACCCACCTCAGGTCTTCAGGTTAAGACTGGACTCACTTGATGGAGTCCTACTTGATTGGATTTTACTGTACTTCTGGGGCCAATAATCCACATGAAACAAAAGTTGTCACAAAGTTCCACATCTTCTTTGACAGTACACATTAGGTATTGTCGAATTATTTTCTCATTAAGGAGTCTAGAAGTGACGATATTCAATAAACAGATTGTGTTGTGCCAAAGAAGATTATGGCAGGGTTGTGAATCAAATAACGATGTGGACATTTCCTTTTACAAGATTTATTTAAAAAATGGTTTCTTTCCCATAGAGCTGTACTGACACCTGCCCTCCTTTTGCCCAAATAGAATTCTACAACATGAACGCAACCTATAGGCCACTGAAAATACAGCTTATTTCCTCATTTTTTGCAGCGGAGTCCATTGAGGCATGAGAAGTTAGTAAATAAACCCTCCCCCTTTGTCGTCCACCTTACGGCGATCAATAGAGGCGGAGTGTGGTAATGACGGATGGCGAGCTGGCTGGTGCTCCTGGGACAAGACCGAAATGATAGTAAGCAAATATTTCTCTAATGGATAGCAAAACAGCACTACTCTCCCACCCCAAAGACTACACAAAGACCACATTACACTGTACACAACCTGGTAATTTGTCCTCCTTCTAGGAATATGCAGACCCAAACACTTAGTCACTGGCTGTCATGTTCCCGCCTCATCTATTATGGCGTTAAGAAGAAGGCTCTTGGGTCAGTAAACAAGCAGACAAAATAATTCAACATGGTGACAGAGCAGGGAATGCAAATAGACCAAAGACAAAAGATGCTGACATGTTTTGTCAATCGTGCCTTTTGTTCAGATGTGCGAGTCTGACACCCACTTGTCCTACTTTTGTGTAGGTTTCAAAAGACTGTTTCTAAGATCTTCTAAGATCCGTGAACGATATCACACAGTTTCATTTGTATCCGTCGCGTTTATGTGATAGCGTTAGAACTTTACGCGTCCCACAGGGTGTACAGTGAAAAACAGTAGGAATAAGCACTTCAAGCGATAGTAACGGCTGCTGTTATGAATAATTAAACAAACATGGTTTTAAATCCAATAAAATCCATTATATTTGTAGAGCATTCTGTTTTACAAATTTCCAAAGAGAGACAAAAGTAATACATTTACCCATACAAAAATAAAGCCATAGCACATAATTAGCTTTAGTTAAAACAATACTCAGCGGTATGCACTGTAGGTGTATACAGTATGCAAGTTGTTTTTTTATATATTTTTTCATATTGACCTCGTAATTTCCCAGTGCCTGTGTGTGTTGACAGTATGGTGGTGCCTTAACTTTTGAACAGTGCTCGAGGATCAATCGTCTTGCAGGTTTTCTGTTGCCGGGGGTCCGTCAGCAGAGAAAGCCTTACAAACATTGATCCTATAACATTCTCAAGATGTAAAGACGCCATGCTGTCCACTCATACAGCCACTGGGTCAATACGAAAAGTATCAAAACATACACACAAAGCATCCCATAGCAAAGCATCAAAGCAAAACAGCACTACTCTCCCACCCAAAAGACAGCCCAATCCTACATTAAAAAGTTATCAAATAAGCCTTAAACCTTTACTGCTGACAAACCTTTGAAAAAAGTTATTTATGTGACATTTTATGAGGAAAATTACACCCAAACATGAGGAAATGTTAATTATTTTAAGCGTGTGTGTCAAAATTCCCTTGTTTACGGTAAACACAATAGTTTTGGGCGATCAATCTCTTAATCAATTCTTCCAACCCTCAGAGCCCTTTACAACACCATAAAGAACCCAAGTGCTTTCCAATAAAATCAATGAAAGAAAACACAATGAAATATCTATACTAAAGAGGCACTACATTCTTGAGTACGGATTAATAAAAGATAGATGCATGTTTTCTATCTAGACTAAACTTCTTTTATATTCACATTATATTCCATTATTATTTATACGCCCACTTCTGTTTAAATAGCTATATTTAATACTACCGTGTTATACACCAACGTTGGTAGATATAAAACAGATGAATTAATTATTTCGGGGGCGTATACAAAATGTAATGAAAAAATATGTAGGGTTATAGTGGCCTCTGAAGTGGAAAATTACTATTAATCATAGTAATAACATAAGAAATGGGAAAAATACTCATCTTAAAGTTTATCATTGACAAGCAGTAAAGAATCAAACCTGTGGCCCCCAACCCAGTCTCCCTCTGGTCCCTGTGGTCCCCAACCCAGTCTCCCTCTGGTCCCTGTGGTCCCTAACCCAGTCTCCCTCTGGTCCTTGTGGTCCCTAACCCAGTCTCCCTCTGGTCCTTGTGGTCCCTAACCCAGTCTCCCTCTGGTCCCTGTGGTCCCTAGCCCACACTCTATTAGTCTCTGGCTGTGGTGATGATTTTGTTATGTCCTCAATGTTCCTATTTCCTAATGTTCACGATACAACAGTAATGTCGATTAGTGATTAGTGTTGAGCAAAAAAGGAAAGAACCACAAAAGTGAAGGCAGCTGAGAACAGAGACATTAGAGTATCAGATGGAACCCAATATGAATCTTTGTGTTCATCCAGACTGGAACCATTTCCCTGATAAGAAAGAAGGTTTGTATAAATCAGATGAAAACTTGCCTCTCAATAGCAACACTTCCTCTCCCTCCTTTTACCCCTCCTCAGTGTGGGAAAACTGCAAAGTGGGGCTTTGTTCAGGGCAGAAGAGTTTACCGTCTGTGGCCCTTCTCCACAGATTCGCTCCTCTCTTGGATTCACTTTTATGCAATTATCATGTATGTTTTTTATTACTTCAATAAATCACACTTTCTAATCTCATTCTAAATTCGCCAATAACACCCTTCTCTGTGCCGCCGCGCCCTTGATCAACCGCTGTAGGACCAAGAACCCTCTCCTCTGCTGTGATACAACGCAACCTTTTCGGAGTGGTCTCTCTGCTGCCAGACTCAGCGACATAACCTTGCCAACACATCCTGGGAGATTCCCCTTGATGAACAGGCAAAAGAGAATAATGATAATCATATTCAGGATAATAGCCCACTCCAAATGGCATCATGATCTGTACATAAATCACAACCCATTCCCCCACCCTAAAGGACAGGCTTTTACCCTTTACCGGGGACTTTATGCTTGAAAAATCTCATTTTTAACTGGCCTGACCTAGATGCGCCCTCAATTCCATAACAATCCAATAATAAACATCTGGGTCGCATATTTGGCCTCCTCATTACAACTGTGGGCTAATCGTATTTTAAACAATTTATGAGCAATTAGATCATTGTGCAGAGAACATGCAAGTCACGCCAGTATAAGATAACAACGCAACGGCGAACTGGATCACACACACGTCAAGGGTGGGACCTCATGAGCGCTGTCATGGGGTTAATGACCCTGGGCAAACATTAGCGTGGCTCAGAACAGCACGGTAATGAGAAGAAGAGGGGGGGGGGAGGGAGAGGCAGCTAATCTGGTCGCCGGGAACAAGCAGCCTATATAGCAGACTACAGGCTCCATAAATAATAAACAGCCATGAATATTATTATGAGGAGAGTCCCAGCTGACAATACATGATTTAAATGTGTAGCTTGAAACGGATTTCCACACCCCAAGGCCTTGAGCAGAACTGAGGCCGCTGTACTTCTGATCAAGGCTGGGCTTGTTTCAGTCTATTGCTATATTATTATTCTGAAAATGAATAAATACATGCATAAAAACTAGCAATATATCCATAGTTTATATCTATTGCAGATTTTTCTTGAAAGAAATGTCCGCGCTGTGGGACGAATAGAGAATCTCTTCATCTAAGAACAATGGTTTAAAATGTAGTAGTTGTGTTGATGTTGGCTCCTACCTTAGAAAGGTTGCTCATGTTTGGGTGTGATAGAATATTAATATAACAATATAAAACAATCCTTTATCGATATGGTCATTCAACTTATTTATACATTAATAAAACTGGTTAAAATGGCAGTCAATAGCAAATAAGCCTCAAGTCTTGCAGCATAGTATGAGCAACGATGGCATGTTATACCTGATTTTAAAGCATACTCTCTCAGGAACACAACCACATGTTTTACTCTAAAAGACACAACATATGTTATATTGCATTGAAAAAAAACATTTATACAGAGACCATAACTTTTCTGGCATTGCATTATGCTCAGCCTTAATAAAGGTATAGTGTATGCACAACAGCAAGTACTCGTAGAGCGCAGACCTCCGCCCTGAGGTGCAGTTTCATTACTTTTCTAAAAATCCAGAATCTCGGTTTCGGATCATGTCCAAAATGGAATCAGATGTTCACTGGGCCATTGCACGCGCTTCCTGAATTTTCGCACAGACAAACAAACAAACGCTGGTGATCACTTTACCCCGTGGGCGGAGATATAAAAAAAAGACTGTATCTATTGCACCAGTTGGCATTTCCTTTTTGGGATTTAACACCCTGGTCTGCACTAACATAACAGGATTATCTTCAAACACAACACTTTTCTTAAGCGAGGAATGTATATATTTCATACAGATTTCTTTCCTCCGTGAAGGGGTAATGCAATCACCAGGGTTTGTTGTCCGTCTGTAGCAACATGACTAAAAAAGTTATGAACAAATTTGCACAAAATATTCGGCGAAGCCCAGAAATAGAACAAGGAACACACATTTTGAAGTACGTCCGGATCTCCGTCTGGACGTGTGTTTTTCTAGTTTGTTATGTCTTCAGCTCGCCGTGTATAAGCAACACATCTGATACATCACTTTGACGGAATAGAAAGAAAAACCATTGCCGCGATTGATGGGTATTTGAGTGTTCTGTTGTTGTGCTTTATTTACTGTAATTATTACTACTTCATTTGAGCTGAAATCTAACTGTGACTTAATATGTTTGCTGATTTAATGTTTCTTCTACTGTGAGGCAAATCTGAAATAAATGAGTGGAAATAAATATGAAATGTAATGAATGTGGAAGCTTAATGTTCCCCAATGTAATTACCTTGAAAATGTTCTCACGTCCCCTTCTGAATTTGGAAATATTACAAACTTTGAAGCGTTGAGACCGAAGCCAAGACGCTGTCCTAAAAACATACCACTAAGTATTCGCTTTATGTCTGATTTGCCTCGTGACCAAACCAATTACAGACTTCTGCCCTTGTGACTGCTTGGGTCTATGAGCAGCAACAGTGAAGCGATTATTTCACCGCAGTAAATAGATTTGTCATGTAAAGTTTCCCATTATTGCAATGATCCAATTAGCCAGTTGTTTCAAGGAAGAGTGCTATTCTTCACCCTCTCCAAGCATGGATTTCTGATAATTCCTCTTGTTTGTGCTCACGAGGAGCCTGCGAAGGGCTCTGTAGCAGCCGTTAGAAATGATGTAAAGGAGGATCTCGACTCATTTATTGGGAAAATGATCTCAATCTGATTTTACCCTGATTGACTGGCTTTCGTTGGCGCTGATTGGGTTCCCATTTAGCATGCGTAATTACTGTTTACAGTCAGGCGGTTGCTGAAAGATTCGCAGAAGTGGGCTGGATAGGCTGGAGGTTCGGCTTCTTTCTTTTTTTCAACGAGAGACAGAGATAACGAGTAGCTGTTCGATTGGGGAGAAGGAGGACTGATTTTCCGGCGGCGAAATCACGAGACGAGGCCAGCTTTGTACGGATTTCCAGACGCGAGGGATGTGTTGACCTTTCGCCGTGTTCTTGTGTCCACTGCTGTCCTGTGGTGAGTGGTGGTCAGGACCCGTGGTGAAGGGAGGGGCAGGGGTGAACTGAGAGGATGGAAGCGGGGGATGAAAAGACAAAAAAAAAGGCTTGGATGAAAGTAGTGGAGAGATGTGGAAAAAATTAAATTGAAATTGTTAGAATGGTAATAGT